AAAACAGACAGGTGCAGCGCTGAGTAATGATAAACACTTATAATATACATACTTTCATGTTATATCAACAGGTGCAAACAGATGATATCACCAAATGGTGATTCTCAGTGGCTAAATAGTTCAATAGGATATAATAAAATCGTGCGGATCCTGAAGGATCACAATGCCAGGTGTGTGGATATCCTGATCCGGGAGTGACAGATGGTGTGCTTCAAATGAATGAAATACACACTCACCAGAAGTGCGTTTAAAATACGCAATATGAAATCCTGCGTCTCCAAACAGTTAGTGGATCATCTGTTCCCAGGTCAGGTCACACATCAGATAACCATCTGGTCACATCAGCATAGAGGTACTACGGTCCTTTGGTGCGTATCACCATCTTGGGTCATCTCTTTTTAGAATGGGCACTGCGAATGAAGGCACTCACACGGAGAGCCCAATAAGAGACCACATAGTGTGATACTGTATAAAGTCCCTTTATTCAGTTTGATGAGTGTTACAAGATAATAAAATAAAATTTACTGACCATATGTTCAGAGTGGCCACCAGCGGTGGTCAGATGTCCGGTTGCTATAGCCCCTCTGGCGCGTTTCGTGCGAACTGAGCGGTAGTGCAACATACAGTTACAAAATTATCAGCAACCGCCCGTCTCACTTTACATCGCCACTAAAATGGCGCCGCGCTATGAATACTGTTCTGTTAAATGCAGTCACTAGTGGGCACTTCGCGATCCACGGCAAAATGGCGTCGGCATACCGCGCACGCGCGCCGATAGCCAGCAAAATGGCGGGCGCGTTAAGTGTGATTGTCATTCTTTATATATAAATAGCACTGCATAGATGTCCTGCTGTAAGCCCTTGTACACTATGACTACGTGCATCGCACGAAACGCATCAGTGGGCTACAGCATCCGGACATCTGACCACCGCTGGTGGCCACTCTGAACATATGGTCAGTAAATTTTATTTTATTATCTTGTAACACTCATCAAACTGGAATAAAGGGACTTTATACAGTATCACACTATGTGGTCTCTTATTGGGCTCTCCGTGTGAGTGCCTTCATTCGCAGTGCTCATTCTAAAAAGAGATGACCCAAGATGGTGATACGCACCAAAGGACCGTGGTACCTCTATGCTGATGTGACCAGATGGTTATCTGATGTATGACCTGACCTGGGAACAGATGATCCACTAACTGTTTGGAGACGCAGGATTTCATATTGCGTATTTTAAACGCACTTCTGGTGAGTGCGTATTTCATTCACTTGAAGCACACCATCTGTCACTCCCGGATCAGGATATCCACACACCTGGCATTGTGATCCTTCAGGATCCACACGATTTTATTATATCTTATTGAACTATTTAGCCACTGAGAATCACCATTCCGTGATATTATCTGTTTGCACCTGTTGATATAACATGAAAGTGTGTATATTATAAGTGTTTATCATTACTCAGCGCTGCACCTGTCTATTTTGATTCATATATTGTAGGCACCTTTGTCCAGTCAAACCCTGAGTCCATGTCATATCCCAAAATTCCATCAATTATTAATTTCATATTCTGCTGTGAACACTGTCTGTCTCATATGGCTCTCTTCTCTTCCTCCCTCTAGCCCTCCCTTCTCCCTTTCTGTACTATCAGGACTTTGTTTTTCTGCCTGAATTAAGGGAGATCGTGATGGTCTGCCTGTCCTTGAAGGTCTGAGGTAAAAAAAAATCATCCTCTCTTTTGGGTAAAGATGAATATACTTTTGTATAACTTGCCAGAGCAGGCGGTGGGGGGTAAAGAGTGGAAATGTAAGTTACTGTGCTCTGGAGTGTAACCAGACACATATTTCAGCTACTTTCAGCTACTTTCATATTTCTGCTGCTTTCATATTTCTGCTGCTTTCAGATACTGTATCTCATAACAATACCGTTATCACATATTCCTTACAAGTTAACCTAGACAATTCAGGATATATTGTCTTTTTCTCTTTTTTTTTGTTGTTAGCAATATCACTTAACACTTTACACAGGAGCTTAAAAATGTTTGGTAGAGATCTCTCACCTTAGATATACCCTCTTTGATGCAAAAACAGCTGTTAGGCAAAGCAATAAATATTACAGTGTCAGTACTTATTCTCTGAAGCGTTGAGGCTGTGACTCCGACAAAGCCTTCTCAACATTTCAGGAGTTTAACACTCAAAAAGAATGAACCTTGTAATATCCCTATACTGTAACACAAATTACTACTTAACAGTTTCTTAACATACAGCAATAAAGCACTTATACTTCTAAAATGGTAAAAAAAAAAACGAGGACTCCTGTGAATTCACAATTATACTTGCCTAGGCAATTTTTCCCCAGAGGTTTCCAAAACCTCTGAATTCCCTTTGAGGACCCACCTCAAAGACTCTCCATGAGATCCAACAATCTCAAAACGGAAACTTGGGCTACTGTCCCTGGGTCTTAAAGGGGGACAATCCAGGTAAAACTAAGACTGGCTCAGCTTACCTGACCGGCCACGCATTTAAACAGGCGTTTGGGAAGCGTTTTTAACGCTCCTCAAATGCTCCCCAAACACCCCATGCGCAGTTTTGAGTTGGGTTTTGTGGTGTGGTTTTGCCAAATGTTAAAAGTGTTAAAACCGCACCACAAACACCTATAATGAAGTTAAATTGAATTAACACTCCACAACTGCCTCGCAAACGCCTCACAGGCGTTTGGGGAGTGGCACCATAGACTTGAATGGATATAACGAAGATCCTCCTGCGCTTGAATGGAGTCCTAGCCTTGAAGCTGCTGACACTAACCTTATACCCAATAAGTGAATAAACCAATAAATATAACAGTGCAGCGCTGACAAAATTAAATGATGAATAAAAATATAAATAAATATATAAATAAATGGTGAGCAAAATAAACGAACTTGGTACATAATAATCAATCCCCTTGATTTCACATCAGGGAAATCTACATATAAATAAATAAGTGTATATTATATAAATTATATAAATTATTATTATTATTATTATATAAATAATTGTGTATTGCTTGAATCCCCTCTCACTGGGAATACACAGTGCACATAGTGAAATATAAACCGTAACACAATGCTGTGAAATAACACACAAAAAATGTGCAAAACAACTCTGGTTACCCTGAGGAAGTCACGTGCTAAACGTGACGCAACGTGTCGGTACGCAGATACCCATGCAGTACACCCATAGCATGTGAGTGGGCATTTTTTATTCTGATTATTCATTTATTAAACCGGTTACACTATGGAGGATCTCTGCTTGTATTTTACTATGATCCTGGGAGGAGCTGGCTGCTAGTTGGTTGAAGGCATCATTGAGGGGAATCCTGGGAGGAGTGAGTCCTTGTAGGATCGGTTGATCCCTAAAGCGAGCTGGCCCTTTGGGGTCTAAGTAAGGAGGTGAGGGGGCATTCTGGCTATTGGAGGATTGTCACTTGTGAATCACCTACACAGCACGACTATTGCATGAGAGTGAAGTGGGAGTACCACTATATGTGTTGCTATTTTTGGGACTATTTAACCATTTGTTCACAGTTGCTTTGCACATTTTTTGTGTGTTATTTCACAGCATTGTGTTACGGTTTATATTTCACTATGTGCACTGTGTATTCCCAGTGAGAGGGGATTATATGTAGATTTCCCTGATGTGAAATCAAGGGGATAGACTTGAATGGGAGGCTTCAACTCCTCCTGACTCGACACGAGGAGTCAGTTTTGCTGCAACGCAACGCTAACGCTTCAGTGTGAACAGCACTGTATGCTGCCATGTGCAGAATTTTTATAGCCCTTTGAGAAGTATTAAAAAACGCTTCCCAAACGCCTTTCTGATGCCTGCTGACAAAGCTAGTGTGAACGTAGCCTACTGTGGGCAGCCATCTAATCCACCTTCTAATTCACAGCAAGTCACGCTGCACTTTGTGAATAGTCCCGCAGGAGGGACGGAAGCAGGCGATCCGAGCAGACGTGGGAGTAGATAACTATTAAAACTAGATATCGGCCCCCCCATCCCAAAATGATATGCCCATTTTGGTACAGGAGGGGGGGGCCCTAAAGCAGAACTTCCCTTTTTGATGTTCCGCTTTAAGCCATATGTAATGTAACACTTCCATTATCTTCCCATTGTCGGGGGAGTGCTGTGCTGTCTGTGACTTTAATGCTCACAGAGATCACAGCACTCCCCTTGACAATTTTGATTTTCCTTCCAAAAGGATGATGCCATCTTTGTCCACTCTCCAGGGTCGGCTTCTGCTTTCTAGGTGTTTTGTCTACTATCTTCATAGGTGTTGCAATGGGCAACAGAGCAGTGCATAAAAGTGATATTGTTTATTTCTTCACTAGTGTGCTTTCAATTAGCCACTGCACAGTGGTCCCGACAGAAGGATTTACACATTGACTCATTTTCTCTTCTTTCATGGCTGAAAATCAAAAGAAACAAGTATTGAAATTAATATTCACAAGGATTTAAATAGAAATATGACCTATAAGTAATTCCCCTAATTTACATATACTTTCTCTCCAGAGAAGTCAAATTTACTAAAAATACAATATATTCATAAATCTACATCCATATTTTATACTGACATTTTGACAGCTGCTGGGTTTTTTTTTTCCTGAAGAGTGCTTAGAAGGGATTTAATCCATCTTGTAAACTTTAATTTGGGCAGATAAACAGGCCAAGCTATCCCCATCAGACTTTGCAGTTCTAGCATTTCCCAGTCCTTAATTATATTATTTCTTAGCCTTCTTTGTTTTGGTAAGATGGTGTCTTGCTGTGAGTCTGTTAAAGTGTTACTAAACCCAGGATCCTGCATTCACTATATCTGGTCTCCCAGAGTACACATGGAAGTGGAATTATTTTAGTAAATAAACTGCTAGATACCTTTTCTTGTCAGCAGTATATAGCAGTCTTGTGAATTCTATCAGTGTCCTGCCCAGCACTAGCTAAAGCTTGTAGGAGGAGTTTTCTTTTTGCTCTAGGAGGATGGAAAACCCCTGACCTCTGTCTGGCCAGTTCTGATTGGCCCTGTGTTGATCACATGCACTCTCCGAAGAAAAAGAAAAAAACCTCTCTAGCAATACACACCAAACTGAGCATGTGCAAAATGCCTATGGTTCAGTCTGCCTTATCAGGTGATAAGAGTTAGTCAGTTTAACAAGAAGAGGAACAGAGCAAGCAGGAACAAACATCCTTTTTACACAATGCAGAGGATTAACCCTTTAGGTTCCACAGTGTGCATAACAAGCATGCTTTACTGCATATACAGACTGATTTTACTGTTGTGGGTTTAGTAACACTTTAAGTTCCTTGCCTGTACATCTATGTCCCTTTGGCAGCTGCAACATTCCAAGTTCATTTTAAAAAAAATATGTACCACATTGTATATCCTGTGACTTCACAGTGCCAGGCTTTAACATTTTTTTATTCCATTATATAGGCTGGAAGACTTACTAATCTATCTAAAAACCACTAAATTTGTTTTAGCAGAATGGTGGCCGTCTGCACACAGATACCAACACCCTGTTGCATAAATATAATGAGATGTGTAAAAGATGGCTTCAGCTCTTGTTCTCCATCTGTGCAGAACTCCTCAGATGTGTTTCACCCTTTTCATGGCTTAATCATAGAGGTCTCTACTTTTACCTTTACAATCACTTTCATTTATTGTTGTCAGGTACTGTATGTAGTATTGTTAATATGAAATTTTGCATATTAATATTTAGTATTTCCTCTTTGAGCCAGTAGGTGGAGCTTTAGGCTCTTTTTCATATGTTTTCCAGTGTCCTTAAAGCAGAGTTCCACTCACTCTGTAAAAAAATAAAAGTCAGCAGCTACAAAAACTGTAGCTGCAGACTTTTAAAAAACAACCACTCACCTGTCCCACGATCCCGCCGTTTCACCGGCTGTCCTGTATTCCAGGTGCCGACATCTTCAGTGTGGGCACCCGGCTGTGACAGCTTGCAGCTTCACAGCCGGGTGCCCACTGCACATGTGTGAGTAGAGCTGCGCTTCCTGAATGGCCCCGTCATCTTCTGGGACCTTTCACGTGTCCCACAAGACTTCGGGGAGGGAGGGTAGGAGGACAACTTCTGTTTCTGATCACCTAGGCAATCGCAGTGGAAGTGGGAGCGGTTACATGTCAAATTCGGGTACCCCCCCCCCCCCCTCACCAAAGGGGCCAATCTTTAATGGGGAGTGGGGGACCAATCTTTAAAGCAGAACTTCCCCTTTTAGTGAATGAGGGAAAGGAGTGTCTCCTCACACTGACACGTCCTTTCTCAGACAGCTTCAAACAAGGTCTCATCAAGAGTCAGCTGCCTGAAAGGAAACAATCGCTGCTTTCTGAATATTTACCTGTCAGCCGAGTCCAAACTGAATCTTCATATCCAACATGTTTCCAGTTTTGTCAGATAATATATAAAGAAGAACTCCACGCTTAGAAGTAAATAAAAGGGCAATTAGCACTAAGATCTATGATACGAAATTCTCAAAGCTACTATACAAAAGTGCAGTACTATAATACATACATTTATAAATGGGAGTCAAATTATAATATGAATTAAATAACAATATTGAAAATATTTATAAAACATAAAACCTACACTTGGATATATACACACTAAATAATAACAATAGAAAATAATAAAATAAAATAAAAGAAGCTGCTTGCATACAGAGGCGAATACAAAATGAATAAAAACAGAAAATGCAGCGCTAATCAATAGTAAATATTGAAAAAGTCCAAATGATGTTCAAATAAAGTGTGATAAGTTGCAAGAGAAGAGTCTGGCACCAAAAAACCATCACCAAGGCACCCAAATAGATAAGCCCCTTACCGGACGTTCAGACTGTAACACAGCGGTCAATATACACAGCCCAAAAGGGATCAATAGAGTGGATGATATAGCTGAAAATCCTCCTTAGGATGATGATCACTCCTCCTCTTTAAAGATCTTCAAAGGCTAAAAAGACTCTCATCCAATGGTCAGATAAAAGACTTTTATATCCCTGAAGGGACTTATCTATTCGGGCACCTTGGTGATGGTTTTTGGTGCCGGACTCTCTTGTAACTTATCCCAGTTTATTTGAACATCATTTGGACTTTTTGATATATTTACTATTGGTTAGCGCTGCATTTTCTTTGTTTTCATTAAAAATGAAAATATTACCTTCATGTAGTGAAACAACATTCACAAACTGCTATCAAAAAAGAAGAAAGTCTAGACCAGCGGTTCTCAACCTGGGGGTCGCGACCCCTTTGGGGGTCGAACGACGCTTCCACAGGGGTCGCCTAAGACCATCGGAAAAACACATATTTCCGATGGTCTTAGGAACCGAGACACCGCTCCTCGCGCGCCGCGCCGCCGCCACCGCCGTCTCCAGGTGTGGGCGGGATGACATGCCGCCCCTGTCATCTGGACACACCTTGAGATCAATCCTCGCCTGTGATTGGCCGCCGGCACTGTAGCTCAGGAGAGGCACACAGGCGGCCAATCACCGGCAAGGAGGTGGAGCTTGGAGAGGAGGAGCCGAGTGGCACCGCGAAGATCGAGCGAGTGAAGAGGAGGAGAGCGGCCGGAGAAGGAAGACATCTGACAGGTAAGTGTCGGTACCATGGGAGAGGGAGGGAGCGAGCGAGCCCAGGCTGGAGCAGGGGTCTGCAAGGTAAGTATCATTGGTGTCAGTGGGAATAGTGCCCCATCATTGGTGTCACTAATACCAATGATGGGGCACTATTCCTCCCACTGACACCAATGATGGGGCACTATTCCTCCCACTGACACCAACGATGGGGCACTATTCCTCCCCCAAATGACACCAACGATGGGGCACTATTCCTCCCCCACTGACACCAAGGATGGGGCACGATTCCTCCCCCCACTGACACCAACGATGGGGCACAATTCCTCCCCCCACTGACACCAACGATGGGGCACTATTCCTCCCCCCACTGACACCAACGATGGGGCACTATTCCTCCCCCCACTGACACAAAGGATGGGGCACTATTCCTCCCCCCACTGACACCTATGATGGGGCACTATTCCTCCCCCCACTGACACCTATGATGGGGCACTATTCCCCCCACTGACACCAATGATGGGGCACACTATTCCCCCCACTGACACCTATGATGGGGCACTATTCCTCCCCCCACTGACACCAATGATGGGGCACTATTCCTCCTCCCACTGACACCAATGATGGGGCACTATTCCTCCACTGACAGCAATGATGGGGCACTATTCCTCCCACTGATACCAATGATGGGGCACTATTCCTCCCACTGATACCAATGATGAGGCACTATTCCTCCCACTGACACCGATGATGGGGCACTATTCCTCCCACTGACACCGATGATGGGGCACTATTCCTCCCACTGATACCGATGAAGGGGCACTATTCCTCCCACTGATACCGATGATGGGGCACTATTCCTCACACTGATACCGATGACGGGGCACTATTCCTCACACTGATACCGATGACGAGGCACTATTCCTCCTCCCACTGATACCAATGACGGGGCACTATTCCCTCCCACTGACACCAATGATGGGGCACTATTCCTCCCACTGATACCAATGATGGGGCACTATTCCTCCCACTGATACCAATGATGGGGCACTATTCCTCCCACTGATACCAATGATGAGGCACTATTCCTCCCACTGACACCTATGATGGGGCACTATTCCTCCCCCCACTGACACCAATGATGGGGCGCTATTCCTCCCCCCACTGACACCAATGATGGGGCACTATTCCTCCTCCCACTGACACCTATGATGGGGCACTATTCCTCCTCCCACTGACACCTATGATGGGGCACTATTCCTCCCACTGATACCGATGATGGGACACTATTCCTCCCACTGATACCGATGATGAGGCACTATTCCTCCCACTGACACCGATGATGGGGCACTATTCCTCCCACTGACACCGATGATGGGGCACTATTCCTCCCACTGACACCGATGATGGAGCACTATTCCTCCCACTGACACCAATGACGGGGCACTATTCCTCCCACTGACACCAATGACGGGGCACGATTCCTCCCACTGACACCAATGAAGGGGGCACTATTCCTCCCAATGACACCAATGAAGGGGGCACTATTCCTCCCACTGACACCAATGACGGGGCACTATTCCTCCCACTGATACCAATGACGTGGCACTATTCCTCCTACTGCAAAATTACAGTTATGAAGTAGCAACGAAAATAATTTTATGGTTGGGGGTCACCACAACATGAGGAACTGTATTAAGGGGTCGCGGCGCTAGAAAGGTTGAGAACCACTGGTCTAGACCTTCCCAGTGTCTATGTGACAAAAAAGCCAAAGACAATTCTTTAACACTCTACTTCAACTAAATACAAGGAATGCTTCAAACGCCACGTGATCACCTTAAGTGCACATGATGTATCTTACCAAAAGGTATGTGACTATATGTGAGGACATGGTCATAAAGTGCTCAAAACATATACTGAAGGTGTCTGGATCCAGAAAACACCTAGCGTCTAGCCCCCAACTTGAGTACTTCAACTCAGGCAAACCGATAACATATAGAGTGAAAGAACTCTCATAGTGTAGTAAAACCAGTTATCAGGTTTATTAAGGTTACATATACTGTAGATGTTCACTCACATGGTTAAAATAATCAGGAACTTTGTTATTTTTTGATTGCACTTTGTGATTGTCGTCTCACTACATGGACACTTAAAGTGTTACTAAACCCACAACAGTAAAATCAGTCTGTATATGCAGTAAAGCATGCTTGTTATACTCACTGTGGAACCTAAGGAGTTAATCATCTGTATTGTGTAAAAAGGCTGTTTGATCCTTTCTTCTCTGTTCCTCCCCTTTTTCAAGCGATCACCTCTTATCTCCAGACTGAACCATAGGCATGCACATGCTCAGTTTGGTGTGTATTGCTAGAGAGATTGTTTTTTTTTTCTTGGGAGATTGCATGTGATTAGCACAGAGCCAATCAGCGCTGTGCAGACAAAGGTTTTCCATCCTCCTAGGGCAGAAAGAAAACTCCTCCTACAAGCTTTAGATAGTGCTGGACACTGATAGAAGTCACAAGACTGCTCTAACTGCTGATCAGAAAAGGTATTTAGCATTTTATATTTACTAAAATAGTTGCACTTCCATGTTCTGTGTACTGTGGGAGGCCGGATATAGTGAATGCAGGGTCCTGGGTTTAGTAACACTTTAATTTTCATTATTTTTGTTTTATTCATATTATATTTTGATTCACATTATATATTTATGTATAATAGCACTGCTCTTTTGTATAATAGCTTTGTCAGGCACTCAAAGGTTCCTCCAGCCACCACCTACATTCAGTGTCCTATAGTGATGTAGGGCCAGTATGGAACCACGTCATGTGGTGGGAAATGCAGAGTTTGGACTTGCAGCCTTAAAGTGCTACTAAACTCACAACAGTAAAATCAGTCTGTATATGCAGTAAAGCATACTTTTATACTCACTGTGGAACCTAAGGGGTTACTCCTCTGCATTGTGTAAAAAGGCTGCTTGATCCTCTTTTCTCTGCCCCTCCTCTTGTTCAAATGTTCATGTCTTATCTCCTGATAAGACAGACTGAACCAATAGTCACATGCACATGCTCAGTTTGGTGTATATTGCTAGAGAGATTTTTTTTTTCTATGGAGAGTGCATGTGATCAGCACAGGGCCAATCAGCACTGGCAAGACAGAGGTCAGGGGTTTTGCATCCTCCTAGAGCAGAAAAAAACTCCTCCTACAAGCTTTAACCAGTGCTCTGCTGAACACTGATAGAAGTCAAAAGACTGCTGTAATTGCTGATGAGAAAAGGTATTTAGCAGTTTCTATTTACTAAAATAATTCTACTTCCTTGTTCAAAATTTTTATTTTGTTCGTAGGGAGGGGTAACAAAGATAAAACAAATAAAGTATACAATATACAATACTTATACAGTGAAATGTTTTGGAAGTGCAGTATTAACCGTAAACATCAGAACAGCAACAGGTAAGAACTGGTTAACAATATTAGGTGGGGAATGTGAAGGTGGGAGAAGACAGGGGGAAGGTATGCGACTCTGCTAATGAGAAGAAAAAAAAGAAAAAAAAGAAAAAGGAGCTGTAAAAGTAAAGGGGAGGGTACCAGAATAGTCAGGGGTGTTGGTTATGGAGTGAGAAGAGTTTCATCAAAGTTAGAGGGTAGAAAGTGTTCTACCCATGGGTCCCAAATCATCCTAAATTTGGGGATAGTATGCAAGATTGTGGCTTCTACTTTAGCATGGATCATCGCCTGGGTTACTTTGTTTCGGACCACGGTAATGTTAAGCGACGTAGACTTCCACGATTTGGCAATGACCTGTTTGGCAGCTGTAGTAACCTGCAATAGAAGCTTAAATTGTAGTTTCGTGACTTCGGGTGGTCGTAGGTTAAGCAACGCTGTTAGCGGGTTAGGATGGAGGTGTTTCGTACTTAATAAGGAGAGCATTTTGAATATTTCCGTCCAGAAGATCCTGGCGGTTGGGCACTCCCACCATGTATGGAAGAAAGTGCCTGGGTCTACGCAACCTCTGAAGCATGCGGAAGAATAGTTAGGGGTATATTTAGCTATTCTCGCTGGTACTAAGTACCAACGGGTTAAGACTTTGTAGTTGGTCTCCAAAGCCACAATATTCTGCGACGACCCCTTGGTGGTAGACCAAATACGGTCCCAATCCGAGGGATCAATTTCGTGGCCTAGGTCTAAATCCCATTTCCGTACATAAGAAGGTAGGGAAGCTTCAGATGGGGTTGTAAGGAGAGAGTACAGGTAAGAAATGAGGCCACGTCTGTGTGGGTCTCTTTACTACAAGTTCGTTCAAAGGAGGACATGGCTTGTGTGGGGTTAGCAACCATTGCGTAAGGGGCGTAGAAGTGTTTCAATTGCAAGTAGCGGAATATTTCTGAAGGCGGAAGTGCATGAGTTTCACGTAATGAGTCAAAGGACCGGAGTTTATTCCTGAGCATGAAGTGATGAGCTCGAGTGAGATCCGCCAAAAGCCAGCGGTTAAAGGAGTGCGAAGAGGACCAAGCCGGAGGAAAGGCAGGATTTCGGATATAGGAGAGGAGAGGATTATGTGGTGACTGTAGATGATACCGGGATTTCAGCTTATCCCAAAGATGCAAAAAATGTAAGGTGATAGGGTTAGTAATCGGACGGCGATCTATAGGTCTTAGCGCCAGAGAAGATTAGCTATGGATAAGGGATCACAATCAATCGATTCCAGGAAAACCCATTGTGGAGTTTCATAAGTTGCATGGTATTTCGGCAGTTGTGCTATATGGGCCGCCTGGTAATATTTACTGACGTCTGGAAGACCAAGACCGCCATTAGACTTGGGAAGAAAGAGGGTAGAGCGAGGGACACGTGGACGGGTCCCACCCCAGACAAAGGAGAAAATGCGGCACTGTAATGTGCGCAGATAATGGGCAGGCACTGGAATTGGAAGAACTCTAAACAGGTATAGTATTTTGGGGAGGATGGACATTTTCACGACTGCTATTCTGCCCAACCATGCTAGTGGGAGGGAGGACCATTTGGACATGAGTGTAGTAAGTTGAGCTAAGATTGGGATGTAGTTGGCGGCATAAAGATCGGAAACGTTCGGGGTAAGTTTTATACCTAAGAAGGGGATGGATCCTTGTGACCATGAGAGCGGAAGGATCTGTTTTAGTTGGGTCAGATCATCCGGGGATAAAGAAATATTAAGGGCCAGTGACTTCCTGGGATTTATAAGAAGACCCGAAAGAGAACCGAACCTTTCGAGCAGGTGGAGAAGAAAAATAATTCTACTTCCATGTTGTGTGTACTGTGGGAGATCAGATAGAGTGAATGCAGGGTCCTGGGTTCAGTAAGTACAAGGAGAATGACAGGCGCATGGTGTGGTAATCCATGTAAGTAGTATGTTCCAAATGGGCAGGGATAGTCCAATAGGCACTGAGGGCAAGCTGCGATGGAGCGAAGTGTACTCTGACGCCAAACGTGACTGACCTCGGACATCTTGAAGACTCTGCCAGGCTTTACCACCCATGCTACACATATACAGCACCATCTGCTGGTGGACCTAGGCTATCACCTTCTGGTACAGTCACCCAAACACCTGGCTACAGACATTTTACCGTTTCACTACATGAGCCTGTTTTTAATTTCTAAGATGTGAGTTACTACTTATCTTCTTATTAAATACTACTACAGTGCACACCTAGAGGTGCTGTGTTTCTTTGTTCCTGGGTTTAGTAGCACTTTAAAGTAGAAACCTAACTTCTGTTTAGGAAAGATCTGGATACTTACCTATTTTCAGGCTGCTCCAGTTCTGTGATCCCCTTGTGTCAGCCAACACTGGCTATAGGGGACAAAGCACTCAACAGCCACTAGTAAAGCAGTGACTTCACCCATAGGTTTCCTAAAGCCCACCTATTGTCGGTGCTCCCTCCTCTCCCCTGTAGTAACCGCTGGCTGCCAGAGGGGAGCCAGATCAATGACTGGACCAGAGTGGGCCAGAAATAGGTAAGTATACAGTTCTTTCCTACACACGTTAGTCAACACAGATGTTAGGAGGAGGTAGGGGGCAGTTCTAAGAGTAAGGTTTTGAGTAGAATTCTGCGGTAAATATTTAAAAGTCCCTATTACAGGGAGATTTTAGTATTTTTTAAGACACAGGGCCACTTTAAGACATGCTTTATTATGTAATGCAGACTTTCAGAACCTGCTGGTAAGTTACAATGGCTATCCCTCCCTATGAAAGCTTTTTGTTTCACCTGACTACAGAGCAAAAAGAACTGTTACAATACAGAAAAGCCAATACTATGCACATAAAAGCTAGTTTCATAGAAGGATGCAAAACTAGCTTTGCAGTAGCTCTTTGTTGCAAGTATCAATGATATAATCAAGAGTCTAGGATATTCAATAAGCCAATGTAGGCAGTCCGGATCCATTCAAATAGGTTGCTGATATCCATAACAATAGCTTCTAATTTCTTCCAGGCCGTAATAATTGATCCTATTTTCACCCATGTGAAGAGAAGATGATTAAGTTTTCCCTTCTTGAATATCAAAATGATAAAGCAATAAATATTTTAGACAATTTGTACAAGTCTCTAAAACTTGAAGAGAGCTGTTTTTCTTTTTGGCTGTCAAATATTTTTCCTTAGCGTCATGTTCTCTGCCAGCTGACTGGCATGGCACAATATGCGTTCAGTTTTGTGTATTTACATATTAACACTTGGCTGTGTAGGAGGGTGCAGCACTGCTCCCATCCAGACATATGACGATCAATTTCTTCCCAGTCTTTCTTTTATACTTTCTACATCCTAGAATTTAGAGTTCTTCAGTCCAGATAAATATCCCCGGTACACTTACATAATGATCATGTTATGTAAGATTGCTGTTTCTTTTTTGGGGATGCTTTAACCTTTTCGCTGTCAGACCCTTTTTTGCATTTTTAAAAAATCATTATAGGCCTGAAGATTACACAAAACCTCCAAACATTATAGATTTTCTGAAATCAGTCACAATAGAGAATACAATAGTGGTAGTTTAAATTTTTTTTATCTCACACTATATTACCCCAAAGGTCTAGGAGACCCAAAATGTAAGTAAAAAACACACTAGTGAATTTTAGGGCAAACAAATGCAATAAATTACCCAATATTTTGCTATAATATAAAAGACAAGGTTGCACAAGTAAATAGATACCCAACATGTCAAACTTTAAATTTGTGTGCACCTGTGAAACGGCAATAAACCAGTGCGATGCTTCAATAGCCTCCTATAGGTCATCAGTTCAGTATTACAGAGGAGGACTTGTGCTAGAATTATTGCATGTTTATCGCAATCTACATTTTTACACAACATGCTTGTGTTTGTATATGCGTATATGTGGGGGGGGGTGCCTAAAAAAAAATTGGGGGGGGTGGGATTTTACGTGTTTGGGTGTAACTTTTTTTTTTTGTCTAACTTTTTTATTTTTTCATCACATAGGGGACAAACAATTCCTTATGTGATGATTTTTTGGTGACAGGTTCTCTTTAATGAGACATGCAGGGTCTAAAAGACCTTGTCTTCTCTGTCTCTACTGAATGCATTGCAATGCAGATCGCATTGCAATACATTACCTTTTGGCTACGCTACCCAGAGAAAGTGACAGGGTGACCCCGAAGTAATGACTTACACGTTGCTTTCCAGGTCACAGCAAGAGAGGGAAGACTGCCACCCACCATGTCGGTCCCGGGCCCATAGATGGGCAAGCAGAGCCCAGAATCCATGCGGGGCCACACGTATGGGGGGGTACCGTTACCGGAGGGAGGGTTGTGTGGAAGAAATCAAGAGGCAAAGCAGCCACTGGAATGTTTTTACACACACAATCCTGGGGGCTGCAGATGGTGTTGTATGGACCTGGCAGTGAAAGGGTTTATTAGCTCTACACTAAGGGCAACAAAAAGCTGCAACAGGGAAAAAGATTTCATTTTGTATGTAGCATCATCCTAGTTAGGTGCCAGCTAGATTAGGTAACTTTAGTTCTATAGCTCTTCTATTAGTAGTGGAGCAGCGTGTGATTGCTTTGGTGAGCTCTGAGTTTCACTGGTTGTGGATTTGATTGCTCCCCCTTGTTTTCTGGAAAGTTCTGGAAAGTAGACAGCTAGGAGAGTCTAATCTACAGTTTGAATATTTGTGTGGTCTCAGCCTATCCTTGGGGGAGGGTTCCCAGTAGGTGGCTGGGAGACTGCATAAATAGTCTGGTCTGGAGAAGAGCGGTTCTTGTCCAGGAAATGAAGTTCCCAGTCTGAAGGGCTGCTTGCCCTCTGGGCAGCTCAGCTGTGCTTCATAGCCTCCCGGCCCTTTAAGAGTTTCAGAAGCCGGGAGGAGGGGAGGGGTGTTAGGGTCATGTAACCGCCGTGATTCGCCGTCACGGTGGTCACATGATCGGAAAACCTTTACGGGAGTCTTGGACATATGCGCTGGGAGAGAGCAGGGGGCTCGCTCTCAGCACATATGTATTTTCTAATTGCACGCAAATATGCTGCTGCTCGGCATAAAGGCCCAGACGCCGAGAGGCCACATATTTGTGTGCGATCGGCGTCAAGGGGTTACTTTGCTAATCGAGGTCCCAGCTGCATTAGATGAGGAGCCTAATCTGCTGAATTTTGCTGGAGCTGACCAAAGGATTTATCTGGGGATCTGGTCTGAAGAACTCACAGGAGATCTCTCTGATTGATATTGGAAGGAAGCATTAAAATATCAAGGGACATTTGTGAGTACAGTCCAGCATGTGAGATCCCAGTGACTGTGTGTACTGCTGCTATCCCTGATACATCAGAGCCTGTGTTGAAAGGTGGACACTTCCTTACCCCTGGATCACATTTATGCGACTGTGCAGGCCGCATTTTGACCGGGCACGAGAGCCCATTCATTTGAATGGACTCCTGTGCCCCGTGACACGCAGGAAAGAAGTCCCTGCACTTCTAAAAACGCAGCCCGTGCGGAAACCTCGGTTCCCGAGTATGGTTGTATTTTCCAGTGTGGGCGGCGTGCCATTAGAACTACTGGCACCCGCCCACGGGTCCACATTCCTCTGTGCCGGTGGTGTGGCTGTACAGATTTTCGTGCGGATCAGCACCGCCCGCACATGTGTGAACCTAGCCTTACGGTGTCCCTGTGTAGTTCAGCCCGTAATTTGCTGCTGCAAGGATGGAGCTAAGAAGCTTTGAGAAAGAGACGTGTGCTCAAGTTACAACCAGGGGCAGACTGACCATTTGGAAACTCAAACACTGCCAGAGGGCCCGGGGTCAGTAGGGGGCCCCATGAGATGCCACTGGTACCTTTTGCAGAGGCTTTTTTGAGTTTGGGCAAGGACACAGGGGCCCCCTGATCCCCTATTGCCCGGGGGCCCCATGAGTTGTCAGTCCCTGGTTACAACTTTGCCCTACAGGAGTACCCCACAGTTACCTTCCAACCATCCAAGTGCAAGTTTAATAAAACTTTAGAAAAAGAATACCTCTAGAATATTCAGTGAGCCAGAAGAGTGACTGAGACTGTGTGCCTGGCTGTGACAACACTACTATTGGAAAGAACCTTGGGACCTACATGTATTTAATTAGTAACAGTTTTGCTTTGTCTGCACATCTCTTTTAACCACTTGCCCTCCAGAGGATTTACCCCCCTTCCTGACCAGGCCATTTTTTGCATCACGGCGCTGCGTTACTTTACCTGACAATTGCATGATCATGCAACGCTGCACCCAAATGAAATTTACGTCCTTTTTTTCCCACAAATAGAGCTTTTCTTTGGTGGTATTTGATCATCTCTGCGGTTTTTATTTTTTACGCTATAAACAAAAAAAGACCTGCAATATTGAAAAAAATAAACATTTTTGACTTTTTGCTATTCAACATATCCATTAAAAAAAATTTTAAAAATCAACTTTCATCAAAAATTTAGGCCAAAATGTATTCTGTTACATGTCTTTGCTAAAAAAAAAATCCCAATACTTATAAATTAATTGGTTTACGTGAAAGTTATAGCGTTTACAAATGGCGGTATATATACCGGCTTTTTTTTTTTACTAGTAATGGTGGCGATCAACTACTTATAGCTGGACTGCGGGAGGCATCCTGACACTGGGCGAACTGACTTGGTGTCACTGATATCCCCAGTGACACCAATACAGTGATCAATGCTAATAAAAAGCACTGACACTTTGCTATTGGCACTGGGCAGGAAGGGGTTAACATGTGGGGTGAACAAAGGGTTATCTGTGTGCTATTTTACTGTATGTTGTGTGTGTGCCTTACAGTTTAAGAACACTGCTTTGTATGGCTGTGCTATGCACAGCCATGCAAAGCAGTGTGCTGAAGCTGATAGGGGAGAGATCTGTGTTGTTTATACACAGGTCTCTCCCACATCGGTAATACTCGAATATCACCGGGTGCCGGCGGAGGATCACCC